TTCAACGAACTACGCGGCGAAGATGAGCTTGTCATCCTTGCCCGAGGTTTAGGCCTCCTGCGCTTGGTGACGAACTTACTCCACTTCTACGATGCCGCCGGGAATAACTTAGTACTGGTTGTGGGTGCTGATGATCAGGAAAACGAATGGATCGGCGAAGGTACGGAGTATGCTGATAACGGTACCTTATGGGACTTTGAAAAGTTGTGAGACTAAATCTTGTAGCTCTCGCGGAACACTATGCCATTAGCAAGACCCCGCTGGCCAGGGGCCTCAAAGTCATCAACACCGAAAGGGCGACGGTTCCCATGAGGTACGTGCTGTATGAGTGGAATAGGTCATCTAGTACTGATAATCTTTCAGAGAGAAGATCTACGCCCAAGGCGGTATCCTGAGTGTAACATCCAGGATACTTGTGGTTGATCTCCTGTCAAGTAAGGCTGTCATTTCTGAATACCAGGATGTTATTTCTGAGACATGCCAATAGAACTTCTCGACCCGGAAAAGGTCACAGGCATGGTTGTACTCCACGCAGACAGGTATACCTAGTGCCAAGAGATCATCAAAGAGCGTCCGCTGAAAGGATCCTAGGATAGTAGCAACTTCTACTGAAGCCTTCATAATTCGGATCTATCGGCAAATCAACAAGTCTGGCTTTCTCAAGGCTTTCTCCGACTCGCCAGAGCCGTTTACAACGGGGTTCGCTCCTCTGGCGAATTCTATGCGCAACCTGTTTTTGCGCAAAACATCATTATGGCCACGATTTCACGTCACTGTTGCCGAGTCCTTAGAGGGACACAGGAAGGCCGAGGTGATTGAGCTTGAGGTGCCGATGACCGATAAAATGCGCGAAATTCAGAATGCGGTCCTAGAGTGTGTGGAAATCAGTATTGCAGAGTTGAAGAAAGCAAATACTGGACTTGACATGGTGGACTGGACCCTGGACAGCGCGTTGCATAGGAACTTCGATGTCGCGATAAGGCGTCAGCTCGATCCCATGTGGCATCGAGTGAGTTTTAGGACCAGACAGATCGTCAGCGACTTGTCCGATCTTCGCGCGATCCTTCAGTACGTCTGATTGCCCCAAACATGCACAATCTCGTGTCCGCATAGGAACTCACTCTTAGTACAGCGCGTTACTTACCTATGATGCGGTCTCCTTCGTGAAATATCTGGATACTATTGTAACCGCGCATTCTCCACCGCCTGGTTCGACAAGACATAATTATTCACCTTGGCTCTTTCTTGATGCTGCTCACGTACTCTTCCAGACCGCTAAGTCAAGAGTGTACGAAGGAAAGATCACCCGTGATGAATCTACCCTTCGACCGGTTCTGGAGGAACAGCCCAAATGGGCCGTTCTCGCAGAGGTGCTAGAGGAGATTGAACATGATGCTTATTTAAATCCTGTCAGCACGGAGGAATCGAATAGTACTGTCCTCATCATGTGTACCGACCAACGAACTTACCGGCAGATCAGGGAGTATCTCGGAACAATGCATGCCACAATCGGTAAAGATAAGCCAGATGATCAGGAAGACCTTGATACTACGAGTGGAAAGAAATTTTCTGCGGAAGTAATGTTGCGGAGGAGACTACGCGAATATCTTGATTGGAAGACTTCGTTGGCGAACGTTAACAAGAATCTGTCTGCCAAATCAAGCGACGACACCCAGACTGCAAAGGGTCAGGAGTCACCGAAGCCAACAAGTCAGCAGGGCAGAGCTCCTCCGAACAAGCGACGTCGTGTCCGCGGTGGAGGAGCAGTAACATCGGCTGCAGCGCGTGTACCGAATGCTAGCGTGCAGACTGACACCGAATTGCCGGGTCAAGTTTCCAGCTTACTGGAAGAATTACAACCAACTGATATTGAAGAGACACAGAAAGGCGAGATCATCAGTGATGACCTGGAAGACATGGAAGACTTCTTCGAGCTGTATGACATGGACGATCTGGTCATAGTTCATCCATACGATGGCGATATGGACGAGCATATACTGGAAGAAGTGCGGCCGCGATACATTATTATGTACGAACCCGACCCAGCGTTCATTCGGCGGGTGGAAGTTTATCGCAGCTCGCATGTTGCAAGGAATGTAAGGGTATACTTTATCTACTATGGGGGCTCCGTGGAAGAACAGCGTTACCTGAGTGCAGTTCGACGAGAGAAGGACTCGTTTACTAAACTTATAAAAGAGAAAGGGGTAAGCGGCTTCCACCGTGTCTCATTCATCCCGTGTACTAATTGATACATTACTCAGAGCATGGCTGTCACCCTCACCCATGATAAGAGTCAAGAAGATCCCCAGGAACAATTCCTTCGCACAGTGAACACTCGTATCGCCGGAGGAGGTCGATTAGCCGCAACAGCGTCACCTCCTCGAGTAGTGGTGGACGTTCGAGAATTCAGAAGCGCTCTGCCGTCTCTGTTGCACGGAAACAACATGGTCATCGTCCCGTGCCAGTTAACAGTCGGCGACTATATCCTGACCCCCGATATCTGTGTGGAGCGTAAATCAGTCCGTGACCTCATCGCTTCCCTGAGAAATGGGCGCCTTTACAACCAGGCTGAGACGATGCTCCAGCATTACAAGAATCCTCTACTGCTCATCGAATTCGACCAAAATAAATCCTTCACATTCGATGCGTTCGCATCCGCGTCGACACCTGGCACATCCTTCCTTACTGACTATGGCTTCTCGTCATCCGGAATAGGAGCCACTTCCCTATCCGTCAGCACCTCTCTCATGAACCCATCCAGCCCCAAATCCGCCCAGCATCTCCTCGTTCTCCTCACTCTGGCTTTCCCACGTCTGAAGATCATATGGTCTTCCTCACCGTATCAGACCGCCGAAATCTTCGCTGAGCTGAAGAAGAATAACCCAGAACCGGACCCTCTTCGGGCCGTGCAGATTGGCCTCGATATGGATATTGTCGCATCATCACATCCAGGCGATGTTATGGCAGCGGCGGGTATTGAGCATCGTACCTTTAATGCTCTTCCTCAGGACATGCTGCGTGCTGTTCCAGGCGTGACGCCAAAGGTGCTCGAACGACTTGTCCTCGAGACGGGAAATATCAGCGAGGTTGCGAATATGGATGTTGAGCAGCTTGATCCTCTTATTGGAAGGGAGGCCGCGCGGAAGATCGTTGGCTTCTTCCGTAAAAATTTGTTCGATAATAGTTGAGATACTCAGAAGCATATGGGTACAGTTTTATAAATATTGAGGGTGGTTATCAGCTACGTGTACAGACTGGAAGAAGTCTTGGAAATATTTTTAATTCTCGTAAACCTTCCATGAGTCTATCATCAATTTTCAACAGGAAAAAATGAACGGAATAACAGACAAACAAATTGCTAACACGAAACATGCAGCTTGCAGCCAGTTTCATTACACGCATTGGCAACTATTTCTCTGCAGAATTATCCGAAATCGCGATTCACGATGGAGACTGAGTTGCGGCACAGCCGAACCAGCTCAGCAGCATGCGCGATCTCAGAAATTCCCCTATCAACCCTGACAGATAGGAACGGCACCGGGTGGCGCTTGAAGCGGTCTCGAACGCGAAGCGGGGAGGCACCGCAACTCTGATCCTCCTCGGTGTCACCTTTTCGGGAAACAGGCGACACAAGAATAGAAAGAGCCCAGGCGTCGAACTTCCTTCCGAGCGCGGCAAAAACCACTGGTCGCAAGCGAAAGAAGATTCGACAGAACCACCCGGGCTTCGGGAGAACAGAGTTGGCGGCAACGGGGGCCCCGGTGGGCTCTCGCAGGGTTGACTGCACAGGGATGAAGGGTATTTAGAGCTCGTCGACATCGATCTCCTTCTCATCTTCAGACTCGCGGTCCTCGTCGAACTCGACGTTGTCCTCAAAGCCTTCATGGCCGTAGGTATCGGTCTCGTTGATCTTGGCGTGCTCGGGCAACTCGCCGTAGGCCTTAAGACTTCTGGCCTCGTCGGCGGTGTACTTCATGATAACGTCGCCCTTTTCGTCCTGGTAGTCACGCAGCGAGAGAAGGATGATGTCACCCTGGTTGATCCAGACCTTCTTCCTCAGCTTGCCTCGGATGTGCGCCAGTCGCTTTTCGCCGTCGAAGCACATGGCCTCCAGCCGGCCGTTGCCGAGCATCTTCACGACCTGCGCATACTCCTGGCCTTCTTCCTTGAAGACGAGCTCACGCTTCTCGTTGTCGTTCTCGTTCTTTCCACGACGCCTGTTCTTACCACCCTGTAGTAGACGAAAGTTAGCATCTGATTGGAAATATATCAAGAAATTCGTGGCAAATCAAATCCAAAGGCTTCTCTGTCATTTCGTATACAGTAGTGACCGCGTTTCGCGCAGCCCAGCCAAACGGGCTGATACGGCGAAATGACAGTGAAAAACTTTCGCAAGCGGGGTTCTTTTTGAAGGAAATCAGGAGTAATAGCGACAACTTACCTTTCCCTTGTTCTTGGGCATGGTGACGACTCGCTATCCGCGTTGACTTTTCCTCTTGATACGGTGACAAGTAAGTTGGTAGAAAAAGGAGTTCCTAGGGACCAAGCGAGGTGAAAGTGGGGTGTGTCGAGTTGGCGGAGAGAAGCGCTGGGATCAAATTCGACGCCGTTCAAATATATAGTGGGCGGTCACCGGGTGGCGTGGCGGCCTGAATTCTGCCTAAGGCTCGCCCTAAGCTACTTGCCAATCGAGATCATTGCTGTACACCGCCTTTTACATAGGCTCCCGAGCCTTTTGTTGGCAGAAAAAGAGCTACGGAACCAATGGAAGGACATTAATATCTCCCAGGAATCTGACGCTATTGATGCTGGTTCGAATTGTTCCGACGAGAAATTGGATTTGTTAACGGCTAAGATAGTGCGTTTTTTCTCATACGAGTGACCTCTCTTCATTGGATTTGTTTTCTTATATGACTGGACCTCAGGCTATATTGCTGTGCCAACAGTCTTTGTCCTGATGATCGAGGCAAAGCCCAGAGCCGGACTTATACCTTCTCATCATGATTGGACAGCCTGTACAAAGGAAGCTTGTCAAAGGCACAAGTCAGTTCTACATGCGCTATAACCCTAAGACAGTCTTACCACCAGTTGCCAGTCGATATATCCTCTCTGAGACACATCCCATCCGGCCCAAGATCCAGCACCTGTACGCCAACCGGGATCCTAGTACACTGTGGTGGAGGGTGAATCCACAACCGCTGCAGTCATTCAAGCGCGTGGTTCGCTCATGGGCTACGAGGCGTGTCCGCTTGGCGTTCCGACAGGCCCTGGCAGCACAAGGGTTCGACGTCGAAGGCAGAAGGTTGGTGTCAGAGACGCCGGGATCTGCGGCCATGAGATCAAACGACGGTCTCCAGGGTAGCCTCGAGATCGCTGTCCTACCGCAGAGTGTGAAGGTGGGATACGACAGTGTTCGGAAGGAGATGGATTATCTCCTAAGAACGTTGCTGAGGCATTTGAGAGACGGCAAGAAGCAGACAAATACTACTCGCAGGCGGGAGCAAGATCATAAAGAAATGCCCACAAATACTAGTTAATCATAATGGAAGAATGGCAAGTCGCTCTGGGACATGGAGCGACTGTACGCTCTCGCTCATGTGCTATGAGATCGTACATATGCACTGGCATTACTAGGGCTTTGGCAGCAGCCGATATCTAAAAAACGACGTAAAATTGGGGAGATGCGAAGCATGCGACCCAATAATCTTCAAAATTGAAGTCGTAATAATCGATCTTGTTCAGTTCCTGAAAATGGCATTCCCGACCCCAGTCTGGGCCGCGCAGGCCGTGCCTTCTTGGCGTGTTGACAACTAAATTAATGGGGCTCGATCATCTCCATAACCAAGTCAACAACGGCCAGGCATCCACTTCTTTTCCCCTTCTTCCGCTTGAATCTATCGGCTGCTGCACGAAATCAATTGCGCCATCCCTGATAGCTCCTGGTTTGCCGTTCTAGTTCTCAAAATGTTGGTCTCCTTGACAGTAGGCAAGGTAGACGCAGGAGTCGCTGTACTCTTAACGCAGGACAACCGACTCGTAAGCTCCCCCTCTCCCAGCATAATGATTGTCACCGGACTAGAACATGCGCCTCTTCCACAATCTCGAAATCCTCCCTTGAGTCGCAGGATTAGTGCCTCACTTGTAAGAGGCCATTGGAAGATTCACAGCTGCTAATCTGGGCAATCTACAGATCGAATTCCCCTCCGTCCTCCTCCCGAACAACATCACATCCGGCAGCATTGTCGATATCACAGTATCGCGCAACCACGCCGCCGAAGCTGCGAGCACTTCAGCCTTCCAGGCGCTACAGAAGCGAATTCTCAACACCTACGGCGTCAAGACCCCCGCCCCGCCTGTCCTCCGGCTCCGTAACGCAACACAAACCTCCCTAGTCCTAGAATGGGATCCAATCGACCTGGCCACGGCATCGCTCAAGTCGCTTTCTCTCTACCGTAATGGCTCGAAAGCTGGCTCGATACCCAGGCCACTCGAGACACGAAGCACCAAGATCAGCGGTCTGGCGATCGACACGGAATATTCCTTCCACCTCGTCCTACGCACAACGGCCGGGACATACCAATCGGAGAAGCTGACATGTCGGACGCACAAGATGACCGATCTATCCGGTATCACGGTTACCCCTGGCATCCTCCCAGAACAGCAGAAGGAAGCGCTCGCCGGGGCATTGGAACGTATCGGCGGCAAGCTGATTGACACAGTGCGCATTGATACCACTCACTTTGTATGTACAGAAGGCAGAGGCCCGCTATGGGAGAAAGCGGTAGAGATGAACATTCCCGTCGTGGTTCCGGAGTGGGTGGATGCCTGCGAGGCGGAGGGCACCATCGTTGGAGTCCGGGGCTACTACCTGAACGCAGACCCCAAGGCAAGACAGCTCGGCCCCATTCACGCCTCAACACATCAACATACCAGATCCTCCGTGTCAATGGCCACCAATGCGCCATCTCAGACTCAGTCTCAGACTCAGTCTCAATCTCAGCCCCAATCCCAGGCTCAGAGTAGACTGAGCCTCCACCCTCAACCTGCACACCAGAGGGAATTGAGCGTGGGGGAGCCACCCGTGACTCCCTTCCCCGGCGCGGATATGAGTGGCCAGCCTCGAGCGGATGAAAGAGAGGTCTCGTCGGATGAAGAGGACTTGCCGCCGCCGCCTCCTCCGAAGGATGATGCTGCAGGTGCTGAACCCACACTGAACGGCAAACGTGAGTCTACCAGCCCGGCGGAAGTTGCATCTCCTGCAGAAAATGAGGAACAGAGGGAGGAAAAACACGACGAAAAGGATGAAGATGAAACCGCACACGAACAGGCAGAAGAAGAGCAGGAACAGGAAGAACCAACGACAAACGACAGTGACGTGAAGGGCAAGGGGAAGGAAGGCGAGGGGGACTTTAGCGAGATTTCTCTGTGATGGCCGCGTTTTGCATCCCTAATGCTTCGTGCTGAACGATGTCTGCGTGTGCGTACTTGTCCCGTGCATTACTATACCATTGTGGCAACAGCGCAAAGTTGACGGCACTCGATTCTGCATTCCTCTTCATCTTCACTTGACCACTTTTATTTCCGAATGTATGTTCTGCCATTATTTGATGCATTTTACTTCGTTGTACAGTATATAGCCAATATTAATGCCGTATGACTCACTCCAACCTCTGCTCTGAATGATTGAAGAAAGGAAGCGCGGATCCGCTAAGCAATACTCGTAAATCTCGTTAGCTCCATTCATATCGTATCATACATGCTCCATGAATCTAAGTGTATGTAAAAGGGCAAAGGCGACGAAATGCAAGATGTAGTGTAGCTCTAGTCACCGGGACCTTGAAACATCGCTCCGTCTGTATTTTAATCTACGCATCTAGGCGCAATCAACGCAATTGAATGCATGGTAAGACTTCTCTTTCCGATGCGGTATGCAGGTCTAGACGTTCCGCACGACGTCGTCGATGGCCTGGGCGACGTAGGCGACATTCTTTTGACTCACTGGATAGCAAAAAGGTTAGTTCGAATTCAACTGGTGATGTAAAGAAGAAATTGGCTTGCTTACAGCCGCTGATGGAAGCTCTGCCGGACTTGAGCAGGTAGATGTGGTACTTGTCCTTGAGGGAATAAACCTGCGCGGGGGTGAGGCCGGTGTAGGAGAACATTCCATTCTAGATGAGCGGTTAGCACTCGTGCATAAGCGACTGGCCGTGGGTTTGTTGAAGGTAAGAGACGGGAGGAAGCAATACCTGTTCGATGATGTGTTTCCAGGACCCCGGGGTCTGCAGCCGCAGGAGCTCGTCATAGAGAGCCTTTCTCATAGAGCGGATGCGCGAGCTCATTACTTTGAGGTCCTCGTGCCACTGTGCGGTGAGCTCCTCGTTCGTCAGGACCTTCTTCACGATGTTGCAGCCCGCCGTGGGACCCATGGAGTACTCGCCCCGGATCAAATGGCACAGATTAACGACGACGGTGTCGCGGAGACTGTCGCTGCCTTGGGGCAAGACGTAGTGGAATGCGCCTACGCGCTGTCCGTAGAGCCCGAAGTTCTTGGAAAAGCTCTGCGCAACGCACATCTCCATGCCGGGCTTCTCGTTGAGGAAGTACCGCACCGCCCAGGCGTCCTCCTCGAGGGACCCCGACGCGAAACCCTGGTAGGCCGAGTCAAAGAAGGGGAAGATCTTCTTGCGCTCGCAGAGGTCGGCAATGGCCTTCCATTGCTCCTTATTGGGGTCAAGACCGGTGGGGTTGTGCGCGCAGGCGTGGAGGAGGATAACGTCGCCTTGCTGCGCCTCGGCCTCCAGGGTCGCCATCATGCCGTCGAAGTCGAAGGAGCGGGTCGCGGGGTTGTAGTAAGGGTAGGTCTTGCGGGGGACGCCTGCGATTTCCCAGATGGTCATGTGGTTGGCCCAGGACGGGTTGGAGAGCCAGACGTTCTTGGGCTTCATGTGGGTTGCCAGAAACAGGGCTCCGAGGTGGTTTGCGCCGGTGCCTGCGACGGTCTGGACGGAGCCAATGCGACTCTTGTGCTTCTCCGCTGCGTTCTTGCCATCGAATCCAAACATTACGTCCCGAGCCAGCTCGAGGAAGGGAATGTCGCCTTCAATGGCGGTGTACTCGTGTCTGGAAAGGCTGTCTTCGGCGTGCAATTGCTTCTCGGCTTCACGCACGCATGGAAGGGGCCATGGCTTCCCGTCGTCAGTACGGTAGACGCCGACTCCCAGGCTGACTTTTTGCGGGAAAGGATCCGTGGCATATGCGCGATTCAACGCGAAGATCTCATCCGGTGGAACGGGTGCCAGAGTAGTGAGGACAGACATGGTCGTGGAAAATTAGCTAAATCGCGATTGCGCTAGAAGGAATGTGAGGTAATTTATAGTATCTTTGCGACAATTGGAATATGCAGACGATAAGAAGCGGTCTGATGCGCGAGAATGATGCAGACTGAAGTACAAAAGTGATAATAATGCGCAATTGAGCATAGATCGTCCGTCAGTGGATCTGTTCGCATAAATGTTCGAGGACCCCGATATCGGGCAGTCTTTTGGTTTCCGCGGCTTTTCACCGCGCTTCTTTTTTTCCCTCCTCACGTTCCGCCGCTTGATGAACTTACAAAGCCGAACGGCAAATAGCTTTAGTATGAAAGAGTGGGTCACGACGTATCGTATAGTAGAACCTGCAGAAACAGATAAGGCTATCTCGGGATTCTTTGCGAAGATGCCATTGAAGATCAGACGTGGTAGACAAATGGTCCCAGGTCGTGTGGTTGGCTTGAGTGCATCGCCAGTAAGAACTCGCTGTATCCGAGACAATGGACACGACTATATATTCCCCGTGAGGTAGATAGGGGACATCTCAGCATTTGCCATGCTGACGGTTGATATATGGAAGATTGCCATCAAGACATAGATAAATAGATACAAAGTCCGAGAGAATGAAATGAAATGATAAGCCGACTGTATAAAAGAGGGGTCGTGAGGGGTTTGGAGAAGCCTTCCCTGTCCTTTTATACTCCTCTACTGGTTTGTTCAATAGCACATCTGTATTTATCACCACAATTAAAGCAAAAGTATAAACATCAACACTGCTCTTCTACAATGACAGACTCTCCATCAGCCGGAGACAAGGAGCTGCATGCTCTTCGACCGCGGACCATTCATCAGCCACTTCACAATGCTATTCCTCCCGAACTACTCCCTCGTTTCGACCCGGTCTACGTGGAATACTATAACAAATATAATGCCGGACGGCTACACACTCACGAGGTACCCATCGAAGATTTTCGAAAAAATCCCGCAAAGTACGCCATTGCCTATGGTCGCGCAGCCGGCCCAGATGTGTTCCGCATCATCGAGCAGAAATGCCCCGTTAAGGGAGGAGAAATCACTATCCGGATCTTTGAACCTGCTTCAGTGTCCGATGACCAGGGCAATGTAAAGAAAAGAGCAGCATATGTCAACTTCCATGGAGGCGGCTGGGTGTTTGGTGACCTCTCCGTCGATCATGATTTCTGCAAACGCCTCGTACATGGCCTCGATGGACATTTGGTGGCTTTTGACGTGGATTACCGACTGGCACCTGAGCACAAGTACCCAATTCCTGTCGAGGATTGCTGGGCAGCATTCAACTGGGTTAGTGATTTGGTTACCAATCCCCTCACTGCACAATATTGAAATTTGAAATCATGGTCCTGACAGCCGTCTCAGATTAGATTGCAGAAAGCACACGAATTCAATATCGATCCGGATCGAATGGCAGTTGGTGGTGTCTCTGCAGGAGGGCACCTGTCGGCCGTTCTTGCGCATCTCTGCCGTGATGCCAACATCCAATTGCGCTTGCAACTATTGACTGCGCCAGCCTGTGACTTGCACAGTGTCTTCACGCCGGACGGACACTTTGACCGTGAGAATTGCCCATACGAGTCATACCGAGAAATGGAGTTTACGGCGGCGCTCCCAGCAGCACGAATGGCATACTTCCATAGGCACTTTCTTGGGAACCCTCGACCTCCCAGATCCGAGGAGGTAGGTATCCGCTCGGATACGCTGTTTGTTTGGGATGCTGACCTAGGAGTTAGGACTGGAAAATCTCTCCTATGCTGGCTCCTAATTTTAGAGATTTAGCACCTGCTTTGGTGTATACAGCAGAGATGGACCCTCTTCGGGATGAAGGCGAGGCTTATGCTGCCAAATTGAAGGATGCCGGAGTTCGTGTGGACCTGATCCGTGCTATCGGAGCACCTCATATCTTTCCACTATTGGATGGAATTTTGGAGTCGGGGAGGGCGTATAACGAGAAAGTGATAGCCACGCTGCGGAGGGAGCTTTTGGTGTAGTTGAAGGATATTCAACTTCAAGATAATAAGAGTGTTTATTTATGACGCCAGTGTTGTTCGTTTCCCCAGACTGTTGACGAAGAAGGATCATGGTTTATCCGATGATGATCGTTACAATACAGTACCAATATGACCGGCGAATCTGTTGAAATTTGGGAAGATTGTCAAGTTGTATTGTGTTTCTGGAATACCGGACCGGGTGTTTTCGGCAGAGAAGCTCGGAAATTGTTGAGATGCCTCTAGAGAAGAAACAAAAGCGCAGAAAACGGCGGCCGGACGGAAACTGGCAGAAGCTCTGTTTTAATAGTCTCGTTTTACTCGTTTTCTTCTTCCTTTCGCTTTCTTCGCTTCCCTTTTTCCTCTCCTCTTAGCCTCACAGCCACCCAATTGAAGAAAATCAACATCTTCGGCATCGGCCAATATGCTGACTTCATCATCGAACTCGTCCCGAGCCGCGGTGCGCTCGATGGCCTCATTGACACATGCAGCGTCTCGTACCACCTCAATGAACGCCCCCGCAGCTGCCCGCAACGCTCTGGCTTTCGCTGCCCGCTCCCCCGCTTCGTTCAGTAGCCGTCGGGCACTGAGCTCCAATACCCGTTCTCTTCTTCAATTCCCCCGCCTTCAGTCCATTCAATCCATCTCCAACAAGAGAGCTTTTGGCACAACCGTCAGGATGGTGAGTGCGCGGTGTTTTCCTGATGGATGAAAAGCTGGCCTTACGAATTCTCGTTATCCCTGCGTCCGCAGGAGTTTGCGATCGCAGTCAGTGGAATATTTGTGAATCATGGTGCTAATCGTCCTCTAGGCTTCTGCTACGCGAACCGAATCTGATGCCTTTGGCGAAATTCAGGTGGGTGGCAGACAGATCCTTTCCTCAGTCCCAGTTCTAATGCGGCTGTCTTCTAGGTCCCTGCGGACAAGTACTGGGGAGCCCAGACCCAGCGGTAAGCGTTCGAGAACAATGGCATTCCAAACACCAGCAGTGTCTGGCGAAGGGTTATCACAAATTGCTGATTCGGATGAGGATAGCTCCCTGACCAACTTCGACATCAACCAGCCCCAGGACCGCATGCCGGCGCCCGTGGTCAAKGCCTTCGGTATCCTGAAGGGTGCTGCTGCTGAGGTCAACATGCGCTATGGTCTTGGTAAGCTTTCTTCTCTTCGGCGAAAAACATTTGACGGAGAAAATGCTCATGCATATCCTAGACCCCAAGATCGGTGAGGCCATCAAGCAGGCTGCTGCTGAGGTCGCCGAGGGCAAGCTGATGGACCATTTCCCTCTGGTTGTCTGGCAAACCGGTTCAGGCACCCAGTCCAACATGAACGCCAACGAGGTCATCTCCAACCGTGCCATTGAGATCCTTGGCGGTACTATGGGCACCAAGAAGCCTGTCCACCCCAACGACCACGTCAACATGTCTGCCTCTTCGAACGACTCTTTCCCCACTGCCATGCATATCGCTGCCGTCCTCGAGCTCGAGAACACCCTGCTGCCTTCCCTGCGCAGCCTTCGCAACGCTCTCCAGAAGAAGGTCGAGAAGTTCGACAAGATCATCAAGATCGGACGTACACATCTGCAGGATGCAACCCCCCTGACTCTCGGCCAGGAGTTCTCTGGCTATGTCGCTCAGCTGGACCGCAACATCGAGCGCGTTGAGGCTTCCCTCCCCCACCTCCGCTACCTTGCCCAGGGTGGTACCGCCGTCGGAACTGGTCTGAACACCTTCAAGGGTTTCGCTGAGGGTATTGCCGAAGAGGTTACCAAGCTGACCGGCACCGAGTTCAAGACCGCCCCCAACAAGTTCGAGGTTCTTGCCGCCCACGACTCCATCGTTGAGGCCTCCGGCTCCCTGAACACCTTGGCTTGCTCCCTCTTCAAGATCGCGCAGGATATCCGTTACCTCGGATCTGGACCTCGCTGCGGTCTTGGCGAGCTCATTCTCCCCGAGAACGAGCCCGGCTCCTCGATCATGCCTGGCAAGGTCAACCCCACGCAGTGCGAGTCTCTTACCATGATCTGCTCCCAGGTCATGGGCAACCACGTTGCCGCTACCGTTGGTGGCATGAACGGCCAGTTCGAACTCAACGTCTTCAAGCCTCTGATGATCCGCAACTTGCTCCACAGCGTGCGCATTCTCTCCGATGGCATGAAGAGCTTCGAGAAGCACCTTGTTGAGGGTCTCGAGGCTAACGAGCCCAGAATCAACACTCTCCTCCACGAGAGGTATGTTTACAATCTTTCACAAATCATTATACCTGAAGCGCTAACCTGTTCTAGTTTGATGCTTGTTACCTGCCTGAACCCCGTCATCGGTTACGACATGGCCTCCAAGGTCGCCAAGAACGCTCACAAGAAGGGCATCACCCTTAAGGAGAGTGCCATGGAGCTCAAGGCTCTGAGCGAGGAGGACTTCGATAAGCATGTTCGCCCCGAGCTGATGCTGAGCCCCAAGGAGAAGAAATAGAGGTATGAAAAGTATTTGCTGAGGATGGCCGGAGCTATCGTTTAAGGTCTTGGTTAGAGCGCTGTAAAGGTAGCGGTTCATTATATTTGTATTACTGGAAATCCATTGTACTATTTATTCCAATTGATTCACCACCCTCGTAAAATTACTAACAATACAGTCTCTTTACTGCTAGAATGAGTATTTCTGGCGAGGTCTTGGGGCGCGCTTTGGGTGCCTATGCATAGAACGATCAGAACCCTGGCTAGTCTTGAAAAGCTGAATATCAACAAAAAGGTTCAGACAATTTCAGTGCTCTTGTTTTAGTCTAAAATGGGGAAAAAGGACTTGAACCTTCAGATAATGCAGTGGATAGGCACTTGTAGTCTAGAGCTGAACAAGATTCGCCATCCGTCAGGAGTATTTATAGTAGCAGAATTGTTTCAGATGCATCCAAGCCTCAACCACGGACCGCCCTTTATTTATGCTCTTCCGCGCTCAGGAACTGACGACTTGTCTACAACATTACTCCCATTCGTTTCAATTCCTGAGTTATCGTCGCAATTGCCGTCTCTGAAAAAGTCCCATACACATCCCTTGTCTCCCTCACCCATTAACTCCTTGGTACCTTACTCCCGAGTGCGAATCAACACCCCATAGTTCTGTGATCAACACCCCCGCCGAACTTTGACAAAGCACAACAAACCCACCGTCACTAAAGCAACCTTCCTGACCTTCTTCTCCTCATCTATACTCAATTGCACAATCTCCGGCCGAATCAATACCAAAATGAGCAGCACCACCATTACTCCAACAACGACCACAGTCCCGGTCACCAAGTCCGTCGACACCCCCACCTCAGACGAGGACACCCCCCTCTTCTCCCCCTCGCTCATCTCACCCGAAGTCCTCGCCGTCCTTCCCGCAGACTACACCATCCGCCCGGTGTGTCGCTCCGATTACAAGAGAGGCTACCTCGACGTCCTCCGCGTGCTGACGACAGTCGGCGACATCACCGAGGAGCAGTGGAACAGTCGGTACGAGTGGATCCGCGCGCGGAACGACGAGTACTTCCTCCTCGTTGTGTGCGATGGGGAGGGCCGCATCGTCGGCACAGGAAGTCTGATCGTCGAGCGGAAGTTCATCCATTCGCTGGGTATGGTGGGGCATATTGAGGATATTGCTGTTGAGAAGGGGCAGCAGGGGAAGAAGCTGGGGCTGAGGATTATTCAGGCGTTGGATTATGTTGCTGAGAAGGTCGGTTGCTACAAGGTATGTTCTGTCTCCTGTCTTCTTGGGGCTCTTTGGGATGGGGACAATTGGGGCTGACGCTGGACAGTCGATTCTGGATTGCTCGGAGGTGAACGAGGGATTCTATATCAAGTGTGGGTTTAAGCGTGCTGGGTTGGAGATGGCGCACTACTACTGAGTTCAGTCGAGTTCCGGGATTCAGCTGGGCAGTGTTATTAGATTCGCTGGGTTCGGGGTATTTCGGCGCTGATCTGTTTTCTATAGAGGCAGAGGGTGGACTGACATCAAGGATCTCACGGCGGCATACTTCGTCGTTGTTTCAGCGTCAACGATCTACGATGAACATCTCTCTCGAACGGACTGCTTGTGCCATGCACCGTGAGACTGAAGACTCCTGCTCTGAAACCGTTCGAGCTAGAAGCGAATGCTTGAGATGCTGAGCACAGAGTCATGCTATCACCTTCGTGACGAACCGTTTGAGCGACACTTGGGTTCTGAGCCCTACGTTTTCTGTCATTCAGGTACATCATTAGTTAGAGTTGAACCCCCTGATAGAGCTTCATTCACGTATGCTAGACAAACTACTAGTATAATACACCGCTGTTGTGAGAAGCACCCCTATTAACACTACTTTGTTAGATGCAACAAGCCTGGCACTACGACTATGTCATGACCGTTGAGCATGGCTCAGGACGACTTCGAAAGAAAACAAAGCGCATCAATTTACGATCATAGAAGTAGTACAACAAGCATAATCATGAAAGCGGAAAGGAGCGAATCCGACGCAGTGAAAAGAGGTAGATTGATCGAGAAAGACCGCGACGAATCAATTGACGGAATGCAGATATTCATATCCGCCACGAAACACAAGGCGCAGAAAGCCACTGCAGCCAGAAGCAGTGCACCATCATCCGTTGTTTGAGCATTTGATGGGGTTGATGCTTGACAAGAAAAACATGTTTGCAAGAATGAAGAAGTTTTTTTATTTCCCAAACAATGCTTTAACCCCATATGACGATTGTTGCAAGCCCATATTCTATTCATGAACCCAGTTTCCTTCCACTAGAGTCAGGTCGTCGTCCGTTGGTTGTTCCCGTATAAGTACCATAACTGAAGGTAGGCCAGAATGTCACTTGTCCAGTATAACCGCCGACTAGATGATGATGGCGATTTTATGTTCGATGATCGTCGTCGGATCCCCCTTTCTCATCACCTAATTTCCTCCGCCGGAAAAGACGCGGGCAATTTAGGAAGTGGGGTTGGGGTTCATCTGTAATGAATGCCCTTGTCAGTGTCTGATGCCTTTTGATGCTAAGGACCTCCTGCAAAATCTGCTGCCAGACGGAGAATGGGGATCTCCTGAGAACAACCCCCGAACTTCCCCGTGCAAGAGCATATATGCATCCTTCTATCGAGCTGGATATCAACGTACCTTCCGCTTGCCACCGGTCATGGTAACGTTGACGAAACGGCGGGTGTACTTGAGGCGCTTCAGAGCACGGCCCTTGGGCTCCTTCTTCTTCTCTTGCTTCTCGACCTGTACAGTAGAACATAACCCATCAGCACTCTGATTCAGCAAATATCTCCCTGGAAAACCATCGGTTCATCAAATCATCTTCGCATATATCCTCTCCGCCCATTTCTGCATGTCGAACCGCTGCAAAAATCTTCCTCAAAATCCCTCCTCTTCCGGTGGCGACGATAAACCTTTCCCAACAGGACCGCGGAGATCAAAACTTCATTTAAAGAAGAACAAGACAAACTCACCTTAGGAGTCGCAGACTTGACCTTACCCGCACGGGCGAGAGAGCCGTGAACCTTACCCATGGCTGCTGGTGATGTGTAGCTTGTCGGATCGAGATGGTAAGTTGACTGAGGTTGAACTCTTTCGGGGCTTCTCTGGAGCGGGTGGGATTCGATCGACTCTTGTGGGCAAAGCGCGCTAGGCTGCTCCGTAAGCGAGATGGCGACCCGGGATTAGTCAACCCCATTTGTTTGGTGCCTCAGGCAGAAAGACTTTCGAACCTGTCGCTAAATTGGATTTCAAGTTGTCCCGCGGCTAGCTCTGCCTTTGAAGGTTAATCGATACATTACTGGGTATTCATGGACTGCTAGGTCTATGTCAGCTTCGTCTTTTCTATGCTTGTTGATGCTGTACGCAGATATGGGGTGAGTATTCAGCCAGTATCGTTGCCTAAAATGGAATGGTTTAGGTTTGAGCCCTACTACTCAATAATCAGCTAGTAAGTCCTTTAGATACTGTATTGTAATTACATTATCCGCTGCAGCAAGATAAGCAATCCGCACTATAGTATAGAACTCAGAACTATGATGCAACTGAAGTGCTCTTCCTGAGCCTATCATGGTCTTGATTCCAGAGATCTGGACAGTACAGGTTCAAGTACGATTTGAGAGCTCTGATATCGTCACTCTCCTCAGTGGATGTGGATTACCTAGTACATCTACCTCTCTACCACGTATCGCCGATAGAGCCAATTAAGATAGTCTGGTGCAGAGCAAAGTGTTCTAGGCTTATATTAACTCGCAACATGGGTTGTATATGCAGGAGAAGGATCCAGAATCTACAAGCAGGAGAGGAAGGTCTGTCAAAAAAAGAACAAGGGCTTCATTATAACATCCATTTTTCCATTCCTGGTAGTTACCATGGCGCGAAAATGACAAAGCCTATCTGAACACCATGCGGTTGTCTCATCCGCAAGAGCCCATCGCTCGCACGCCTGTTTGTTGTTGTTAGGATTTTGCGAGGGAAACAAAATTCCAGCTCCGGAAACCTCCCAAAGTCCAACCACAAGGATCTTCCTATCTACTCCCCAGCCCAAGCCGAACCGCCTTCAATCCGTTTAACGAGACTTGGCGGCGACCTTGGGAGCAGAACCCTTAGCACCCTGCTTGCTCTGGATGCGCTGAGCAGTGCCCTTGGCGGCGGTGGCGGCGGTCTTGGCCTTCTCAGCCTTCTTGCGGCTCTCGGAAGCGGCCTTCTTCTCCTTGGCCTCCTTGATAGCCTGCTGGCGGGCGGCGGCACGAGCCTCAGGGCGCATGCTGCGGCGCTCCTTGATCACATCAAGGGAGGCACCGACGATGGCACGCTGGTGCTTGACGACACGGCGGGTGCGCTTCTTGGCAACTTCCTGTTCATGGTGAAAAACACCCCGTCAGCAATTGCTCTTCCATATCTCATATCGCGTCACTCGTGATTGTTCCAAGCCCCATTTGTCCACCCATTCAACGGTTCTTCCATGCCTCCCCAACGTATAAAAGCTCCATTGCCCACTCTCCTGCTTCGAACCAATCACGAGATCTTCCGCGACAAATCATTCAAAGGAAATCGGTAGTACTGACTTCAGAGATACCCTTCTTGTGCTGACGGCGGTAGAGGACAGTCCAGGCTATCCGGCGAGGGTTCTTGCGCTGGAGGAACAGGGACTCGGACTTTCCATTCTGGAAGCGGAAGATCTTGCTGTCGCCACGGACGTACAGCTTACCCTATAATTTGAAAATCCAACACTATGTTAACCCATATCCAGAGAAGAAGTTTTGTGGGACATTTTCATGAATCGGCGCTGCGCTCGTAGAGAATCGGGGCGGAAATTGCTGGATGATTGATGACTCCGGAAGGGACAAAACGCACCTTTCCAGGGTAGATCTTCTGGCCGCTGAAAGAATCGTCGTAGGTACGCATCTTGAATGTTGGAGATGCGCAGCCGGTCGAGACGAGGTTTTGTCGGTTGGCGTTGGGTGGTAAAGTCGAATCGGTCGCTGCGGCGAGCTGTTCGTGAGACTGACACAATTGTGGTGCGGTGCGGAGCCTCGCTAAAGTGCGACACGTGACCTCGTCTGCCCTTGGGCGGCCGCCTTACAACTTCGTCTCCCATACTTCTACTGCGACTACGATAACATCAAAGAAGGAAATCATTGCAAGGGAATTGTTATCTGTTGGCTCTTTCTCTGTGTTCGTAATGTAGTTCATAATCCTTTTTTTTTCGTATTTTCCCTTTTTTCCACTTTTTTTTGGGCTTTTTCCCATCATACCCATATTTCATGCTCTCATGCCAAAGATGTCTCAAAGGAGATCATCTCAATCGATGCTCGAGTGATATGATAGCTAGAGACCAACTTTCCCTTGCAATTGAATCTGCATTGTCAGAAGGACTTTGCGTCGAGTAGTCTCAGGGACAGCATCAGTAATCATGCCAGTCGCACGCAGCCCAGGGATCTTCCTTGCAGTCCTAGGCAGAGAAGTGGCCGTTAACATTCATTCATTGTGCAGTTGACAAGGAGAGCAAAGGCATATGCCATTTCTTACCTTGCACTGGACGTCGCGGCATAGCTCGACCGGACAGATACCCCAGCAGTCGGAGCAGACGTACCGTCCGCAGCCTCCGGGCGTGGTGCACAGGGAGTAGGTGCTCGCCTCCAAGATGCTGTTGCCCAGACTCTGGATGAGCTTAAGGATCTGGTTTGCGGCTTCAGCATGTTCGGGGGTTGGATCTGCCTCGGCAGCGGTGCGGCGAGCAATGTCGAAGATGCAGCATGCTTTGCCGCAGACTGGGCAGTCTCCGAAGCACTTGACGCACTTCATGTTCTTTGTGTCCCATTTTTTGGCATTTTGCGGAGCCTTTCCAGACTTGGTATTCTCGTCCGACTGTCCCTGGAATATGTTATTCACGATGTGACGGATTGCATCGAGCTGTCACTGCGTTAGCTATATCGAAGTATCGTGAACCAATTGACAGGATAACAGTACTTACTCTTTTTTCGAGAATGCTTCTTGGATCCTGGTCGTTCGCAGCTTTGCCTGAGCTGGTCAGCAAAATCGACACTAGTCCTCGGACATCTTGTGCTCACCAGATTCGTCCTCAACAGACTGGTCCTCCGCAGATTCACCTTCGGCCCCTTTGGCCTTGGGGGAAAGACCTGGGCTGGAGTCGCTGTTCGCGTTTCTCTTCTCTCCGGGAGTCTCCAGATCAAAGAACACATAATCTGTTTAAGTATGAATCAGCATCATGCTCATCGAAAGTCTAAACTGGAATTTCAATAACTCTTACCACCAGGGGATCTGAGGCACTTGACGACCATTGGCTGCGCGGTAGTGATAGCAGCAGGCTTTCCCTCTCTCTTCAGGCCCTCAGAAATCTTGAGCTTCTCGAGGTCTCCTTCAATAGGTGCTGCGGTATCTCCTTCAACCAGATCTTTATCAGTCGCCGTGACCGAGGCGGAGCGGACAGAGCGAGTCTTTCCTCCACTACCTGCAGAGGAGGACTGGGTTTGCCAGCTCTTTCTGTCCATGCTGCTGGCTTTCTTGACAGAGTCACCAGTCATCGTTCTGCTGAACTTTCTTCTGAAAGAACTTTCCTTTGGGGATGCTCTATCAAGATCCTTCTGTTTGACTCTCAGTTTAGCTGACTTGCAGTTTCTGGGCAACCGAGCAGAGGCAGTGAGATACTTGCCTTGTTTATCAACTGCGATGAACTTTCCACTCGCTTTCTCACCTTCTCAGGCAGATCCTTCAGGTTGGGCACTGCGGGTAGATCAGATGCGGGATGGGTAACGTCGCGAGACGAGATGCCGCTCTCAGGCTCGAAGGAGCGAGACCTTCTGAGTTTGAGCTGCTTCCCTGAGTTCTTGAGATTGCTAACAACGGAATTATGAGCGGGAGGAAATACGACAGGGGTTGTTGTCTGCAAAATACCTGATACAAGTATCCAAAGCACGAGCGACACGACTCTTGGGGACGATGAGACTGTCAGTGAGAGGGAAATATTCGCTTTGTGTTCGTTGGTATCTTAGTCTCTCGGCGTTCATCTTTTTTGAACGCTGCTTGAGAGCCTTGCGATCACCAACGTGAGTGTCCGGACCCATGGTCAAATGCGCAGTGTCAGTATCGATGAAAGACAGTCCTTTAGGAGAGATGGGTCTGAGTATCAAGCTGCCTATTCTCACCACAATCCCTATGACTGCTATTCAGAAACTCACATTACCAATGTCTTAATGGAGTACTCCCTAAACACAGTAGACTACAAAGGCTTGTGAAGCAATCTGAGGCTATACTGTTTACCAACAGCCTATCGGATATAAGTTGTTTTCTATCCGGCCAACAGAGGGAAGTGAATGTTCTACACGACCTACAGGGTAGTCAACAGTGGCAGAAATTCACAGACTTTTATTCACGAGGTCTTCATCCGGAGCAGCTTTCGACTCTTGAACATCAAATTACTTTTCATTATCTGGTGTTGGTCTCTCAGCCTTTGTGCACGTATGCCATATCCATAAATTTTGATGATTATGCTACCTTGTAGTGTAATCTCACTCCTTACAGCACTAAGAGGGAGGATTAAAGTCACCCCATCTTATTGCGAACAATTACGACGTCGCTGCCTTTCTCAACTAACTGGCGACTCGGTGGGTAATTCGCTCAAGTACGTGGTGGTATCCAACTCCCAGGGCAGAAGCGAAAAGCGGTAAATAGTCGTKAGAGAAGACACAAAGCACTAATTTGAACTCGATATTCGCTAAGTTCACATTTTGGGGGCAGACAGTTCTATATAGGAAGGTCTAGGCAGCATGGTGTAGTTGTGAGATGACAGACATGCCAATGTGTAAGTCAGCAGCTTGAAGCCGAAGATTGTCATAGCCACAAAAACGCGCTGCGTTTCAGCAAGGAGAGGGAGGAGAAACAACAAAGGGAGAGGACACCAAGGAGACTCGTCCCACATGAAAGGCATAGCGGTATGTTATACGGGATGGTTGGAACCACATGAGAGCCACCAGGGCTTGGGCTTGCGTGATATTTTCTTCATGGTCACGTAACAGCAGTCTCGCTCTCATATTCGTCATAGCAAATTGACTGGGATGTCCCAGAATCTAAGTCATTGCATGAGTCCTCGTCCATTCCTTTGCAGTTTGTATCGCAGCTTGCTCATCCTCCTTCCAACGCTGGGCAACGTCATTGGCGAGCGGGTCATCAGGGTTAGGAGCTCCAAGCAAGGCCTGGATTGAGAGGAGAATTGTGCGGATTTGTAAAGCAGGGGACCAGTTGTCTGATATACTATTAGCCAGTGCGCTATCTCCAAAGAAAACAGAACGACGTACTCTTCAAAACATCCAAGCAAATGCGTCCAAGGCGGTCAATGTTGGGATGGTAGATCTTGGTCAAGAAACGGATCTTTGGCGGGGTCATAGGATAATCCTCCGGCAGAAAGAGCTCAAGACGAAAAATGCCTCCTGTTTATACTATTAGAAAACCGCTATTTTCCCACGATGATTTTTAACGGCGTCTAACCTTCGTACGGCGACTGAGCAGGTCCGTGGATCGACACGTCGAAGTATCGAAGGTTGTCTTCATGAGGCACAGCGTTGATGCCGGGGACCCTTAAAGAGAAAAGGCGTCAGTCGATAATGACTTATCCTCCGGAGATAATTTATAACTCACGGCTCTGCCATAAGGCGCTCGGTCTCCTTTACAATTCGCTTTGGCAGGGCCATGATGGACCACAAAAAAGGAAATGCTTATCGCGATCCGAGTTTCCGCTCTTTCTGATATCCAAGGTAAGGTTGACAGGTCTATTGGACTTCAGTTTTAGTTCTAGCGGCTGATAAAGAGAGAAATTTGGGATAAGACCCAAGAAATGTGCAATGAGCCAGTGAGCAAGTGACCAAAACACCAAGGAATCAGATACTTGGGTCGGAGTATCCCCAGTAGAAGAAATTAGAAACCGACGTAACCGTCCGAGGGGCATTTACCTGCCGAGGTGTGACCGCCTTCTCGATTAGATGCTTCCCTGTTGATGTGGCACGGTAGCCCATAAAGACAACCTGCGCAGTCCTTTGCTTAGTCATTACCAATATGGCGCTGCTTTCTCCACAACTACTGAATAATAATTGCGGAGATAAGGAAGGAGTTGGGCCCTGCACTCTGCATCCTGCACAGAGCTACTTCGTACAGACTAATAATACTGCCATGCTGCAGGCCCCAGCCTTCCACTCTCACAAACTCTTAATTTTCTAAGGTACGTCAGACACCCTTATTATAAAGTGCAGACGCATGCTCACGGCGAATTGACCACAGCCCAGCAGCTGAGGCAGTCGCGAACACCAACCAGTTTCCAAACACCTTGGGGTCGTTCAAGCTTTCGAAAAAGTGGGCCTCAGATAATACGCGCAATAAATAGTCTCACACGGTCGTCTCTCCCATAATCAGTTGGTGGCCAATTGCCAAGTTCTTCCGAGATGAGAGCACCTCAGATGTCCCTACCGCTCATCCTGTCCTCGTGCGATCTTTTGATTTCCACTTCTAGCTCACGTCCGAGGTGGACGCGAGACTGCACGGTTTAGGAAGCGCTTTGGAACGACCGATCCCTCTGGTTGCAGCAATAGTCGACATAATGGAGCCCAGGCCCTTGGCTTCGGCCTTCGAAAGTCCCACTTTTGGGGAAGACAGTTCGTTTCATGTGGAGCAGCCCGTCGGTTCCATGTCCATATCTCCATGTGGAAGAGATGTTGTGTTGGCTTCGAAGGAAGGCCTGCATGTCATTGACTTGGATTCCCCGTATTCTCCTCCTCGGTATCTTCCTCATCACACGCCATGGGAAGTCGCAGACGTCCAGTGGTCTCCTTTCGCTGCGCGGGACTATTGGGTGGTGAGCACTTCCAACCAGAAGGCCTTGGTATGGAATCTGGCAATGCAGACGGGAGAGAATTCTATCGAACACGTCCTGCATGCTCATACGCGAGCTATCACGGATATCAATTTCTCCGCTCACCACCCCGACCTTTTGGCAACGTGTGCGGTGGACAGTTTTGTTAATTGCTGGGATCTGCGAACCCCTTCCAGGCCTGCCATCTCATTCTCCGACTGGTTCGCTGGTGCAACGCAAGTCAAATGGAACAGACAGGACCCAAATGTCATCGCCAGTTCTCATGACAAATTTCTTCGAATATGGGATACGAGAATGGGAGCCTACCCGATCAAATCCATTGAGGCTCATGATACCAAGATTTACGGGGTAGACTGGAACAGAGTCAGGCCAGGAGCTTTGGTAACATGTTCTTTGGATAAAACAATCAAATTTTGGGACTACACGGTAGACGACGAAGTACCCGAGAAGGTCATAACCACTCCATTCCCAGTATGGCGGGCACGCAATACCCCATTCGGATGGGGAGTTTTGGCTATGCCGCAGAGGGGCAACAGCGACCTTCATCTATATAGTCGCAGGGCTGGAGACGGTACCAACCTCACAGAGAACCTCCCACTGGTGCACAGTTTTCCGGGACATAAAGGCCAAGTGAAGGAATTCCTTTGGAGAGCACGTGGAGGTGTGGCGGATGGAATCGATTACAGGGAGTTTCAGCTTGTGTCGTGGGGCACCGATAGGGAGCTTCGGCTACATCGAGTGGATCCAGATATTCTCCAACGTGTCGGCTACGAGAGAGGGAAGTCTTTCGTTTCCACGTTGAACGTCACACGGCAAGGCGCTGTCTACAAGACTTTCCGCGACGCAACGGGCGATGATGGGTATGGCGAACCCGATTCTGTTCTATCACCGAACCCTAAGCTTGCTGGTGGTATCGGTATTAATACAATATCTGTTCCTTACTCCCGCCCATGGACTCAAGGAGGCAACGCAGACTCTAGAGTCGGTATGCAAAGAAGGTCGAACTTCCGGGCTGATACAAACCCCATATCCTGGATGCGTGGTGTGAAGATCTCGGGATGGGATATTGAAACCCTGGGAGACGAGATAACACATGTTGGAGAGAAGTTCACCAAGGTTGCTTTTGAATCCGTGGATGTTAGGCAGCGAAAAGCAACAATATCCCTGCATGGGCCATGGGGTGCGGAGGGTGATTCTCTGTTTCTCAAAGTGGACATCAAATTCCCAGTTGACTATCCCAAGACTTCAATGCCGACTTTCAGCGTGCAGCGGACTGCCGCTGTCACCGACCAGCTTGCTGATAAGCTGATAAGCGAGGTGAGAACGATCGCGGAAACATATTTGTCTCATAAGAGAGGCTGTCTCGAAGGCGTTGTCCGTTACCTTTTAGGGGAAAGCAGCCTAGAGGAGAGCATAGCTCACGTACTGGGCGAGACAGGCGAGATAATCAAGTCTCCTATAAATGGCGACATAGGAGACGACGAATCCAGCGATGAAGATGAAGTGGGAATGTCCCAGAGTCAAGAACTGGGCATGAGTTCTGAACTACTTCGTCCGGTTAATAATGCTAATGTGATGGTTCCCGTGGCCAAGGCATGCGGTGCGCTCTGGGCCAATGATGGCCGACTAGTGTGTTTCTTTCCTAATAAGAAGGACAAGTCATCAAACTTGATCGAGAATTTGGGACTCAAAGAGATGTCGAGACTATCAAGAGCAGATAAAGTCTTTGAAGGATTCGGTCGTATCCAGACAGGCTCCCCCGGACCGAAAATCAGTGGCACACTGGCGAGCACGGATGATGGTACCTCGGAATATTCCGATGATTCGGATGCTGAGACTTCAAGTTCGTCAGGTTCGTCAGACATGTTGTCGGGCTTGCAAACACGATTCCCAACATCTCAAGCATGGCGCAGCGCTGGAAGTTTGGGTATTTACCGTCCCAGGTCTACCGACCACTCGCAGCGATCAACTGCTGGGGCGATGACTGCGAAGTCGTCCGAGTCTGCGCAAAATATAATATCTATACATGATTTCAGCGATCTGCTACCAGCAAAGCGTGAATTGGCCCAAAGATATCGCATCTGTGGCAAGGTTACCGATGTATGTGCTCACAATGCTTCGGCAGCCCTAGATCTGGGCTATCATGAACTAGCTCGGATCTGGGGCCTGGTCAAGCTGATTTTGCATAATCAGAGCATGACCGAA